GATATAGCTCAGGGTAAAGACTCAGGATCTTGTCTGAACTCCAAGTCACCTGGACCTTCAGGTCAGTAGACCTACTAATGTTTGGTATTGTCTTTTAAAGGCCTTAGGAGACAGTCTCTGGCTAAAGATAACTTGCAGTCAACAGGGCCTGGAATGATGGAGTGGACTCCCCAGGGAGCATCAAGTATGCTGTACCTGAGTGCACCATTAATATTCTCCACAGTCCTGTGAACTTCACTTACAGGATTCATCTCTAGGCAGTGCTAATGCAGCCTCTAGTACTTCACAAGCACTCTTTCTCTGCTTCCTCAGGGCATTTTGATTGTTTTTCATAAAAGCTTAGCATGAGGAAATATCTCTTTGATTTATGGCATTCTGGGTATTATCTCAACTTTTATGCATATACAGAAACAGATTTTTTTTCTAACATTTTTTACATCAACGATAGACTATATACAGTGTTCTGTAACTTGACTTTTGTCCATTTAATTGGAAAATCTAAAAAAAGAGGAGAGTAAAGCCAGAAAATTCCAAAAACAATCAAAAAAGAGAGAGGAATAATACCACCAAAATATTTTTGTGTTTATTCTAAAACATTTTTTTCCATTAAGTGCATTGTTAGAGGAAAAAATGAAGAAAATACAAACTATGTTTGCAGAGGTATAGAAAAGGCATTTTCATGCATTTCTTATGGGAGCATAAATTGAGAAAATACCTATAGAGGGGCACCATGGCTGTCACCACTACAAATGCATATTTCCTTCATATCAGCCCTTTTTTTTTTTCCCCTTTTTTTTTTTTTTTTTTTTTTTTTTGCTGGTACTGGGGATTGAACTGTGGTCCTTGAGCTTGTGAGGCAGGTGGCCGAGCTACTGAGCTAAATCCCCATCCCCACATCAGCCTTTTTAATTCTAAAAACTATTATGCAAATGTACTTGTATATATGCAAGATAGGTTATCTATAGGATTGTAGGTTACAACATTATTTACAAGAGTAAAATTTTTAAAATACCATAAATGTATCAGTGGAAATCTGTATAAATACATTAGATATAATGTATTACTTCTAAACACACAGAAGCTGTTAAAACGAGAGTGCTCTTGTCTACTTCTATAGCACCATCTACAAGTTACATTAGTTTCAGCAAGACACTCACACTTTTTATTAACTACTAGGAAGCTGGTATATGTCCTTCAATTGCTTTATTCTTTGTGATCAAATTCAGTTATATATTTTTCCAATATGATATCATGTTAAATATGTTATCTTTACAATTTATTACCTTTTCCAAAATAATCAATATTATCTCATGTTAATAAACTTTAACAACAGTACATTTTAAAATGCTTTAGGTCACATATGCACAGTGAAAATTGTATATAGCATCTAAGACATTGAGGCCATGACTTCTCAGTAGCCTTTACTGGCAACAAATTTTATCACTTATTTTATCAGTAAATTTTGTATCCCATAGAAACGGTATTCCATAGAAAATTGGTAGATATCCTATGGCAACAAATAAATAAATAAAAATAAAAATAAATAAATATATATATACATATATAGGAAAAACTTTAATTAGAAAACATTTACAAATATAAGTATAAATAAACATATGCACATATAAGTGATGTTGTCATGGTTTAATCACCTTTGTAAATGGAGTAATCAGTGTATGTCGGGAAGCCCATAAAGCTCATGGATTCTCTTTTTTGGGGTTTTTTTTTTTTTTTTTTTTTTGAGACAGGGTCTCACTATGTAGTTGAGACTTACCTGGAACTCACTATGTAGCCCAGGCTGGTCTCGAACTCACAGCAATCCTCCTGCCTCAGCCTCCCGAGTGCTGGGATTACAGACGTGCACCACCACCCCCAGCTCTTATGGATTCTCTTGAGATCCAACCTTCTCCTTGCCTTGCTGTAATGAAGTCAGCTTTGACGCCTCTACTCTGCTTTCATCTTCCATTCTTGAGAGAGTTTGTGACTTTAGGGGCTCCCACACTGCAAGAAGAGAGCTACAGGAGGCCAAGGTCTAGGAAAAGAGATTAGGGTTTTCAGGGGTGAGAGAGAAAGAGACAGACAGAGAGGGACTTGAGAACAGGGCTGATGCTTGAGATATTGAATGGAAGGAACATAATTTTATTTTTATATTTGTTCCCTTTCTTCTTGTGTAAGTAGCACTGTGTGACTTAAATGTCTCTCTCATGAGACTTGAGAAATACAAGAGTTATTTTTTCATTACTTTCCAAGTGTAGCATATTCCTGATCCATAACTGAACTGTGTGGCTTGAACATTTTTACTTACCACGAATGAAAAAAATCTGAGCTTTTATGCCTAATTAGCATTTATTAACAACTAGATGCATGCAAATTCAATATTTAATTCAACATGTATTTGTCCTATCATTCAGAGTTGGTCTATTGTTTATGAAAAATTACACCAAATGAATTTATTCCTTTGCATCTTTGAACGAAAGAAGAATGTTTCGGGTTAAGTAAATATGCTGAGTTTCACAAATGAAAATTTAAAAAGTGTTCGGTGGTCAGATAAGAGTGTGAATCACTGATTTAGAGTTTCATTTGATCTCTGCAGCTGTGTTTCCCCAATGACAGTCAACTGAGCACACCAGTTTAGCTAGCTATATGTGGGTGTCTCTAAGTGCTAGCATAATTGTCACATTATCCTGACCATCTGCAGACATTATTTTCAATTGTTCAGTTATCCCTCTGTTTTAGAAAGTTTACCACTCATAGTAAAGTACATGGAGGAAGAAAAATTAATCTTATACAATTCTTTCAGAGAATTCATTGCATGAAACTAGCGTAATCTTGATATCAAAACTCAAAGAAGAAAAATAAAAGAAAATTAAGTATCATTCTCAGTCCTTGACACAGATGCTATAATTGTAAGTCAGATGTCGGCAAACTGGATCCAAAAATGTCTAGTGAATACAGTAGCAGGACTCAACTGCTTTTTCCACTTTCTTTTTCTCAGAATAAAGAATTGCTTTAACAGTTAAATGCTTCAGCATTTTGTCCATTTCAAGGAAAAAATATTTTTGAAGTGTACAGAAAAAGTGTTTAATGAAAGTCAACATTCATTCCTAGGAAAAATTATTAGCGAACTAAAGATAGAGAAGAATTCTTTAATCTGGTTAAAGAGCATTTACAGCGGATCATGGTGGCACACGCCTGTCATCCTAGCACTAAGGAGATTGAAACAAAGGATTGCCACAAGTTTGAGGCCAGCCTCTCACACACAGTGAGTTCAAGGCCAGCCTGAACTACATCGTGAGACCCTGTGTCAAAAAGAAAAATTAACAAAAAAAAAACCTATAAAAAATATCATGCTAAATATTGAAACACTGAAAATTTTTCCTTTCTTAAAAAAAAACAAAAACACTAGACGAAAATGTTACTACCACCGTGTCAAGCCAACTTTGCAGCCTGTTTTAAATAAGGATTAAAAAATAAATGATATAAATACAAGAAATAAAGATGTAATACTTTCATTATTCATTTATAGTAAATTTGTATATGCATATAAGCATAAAGTGTGTGTAACAAATTAGCTCAAATCTTGTGGCTTAAAACATACATTTATTGTGCATAGTTTCTGTGGGCTACAAGCCAAAGTCAGTAAGGCTCTCTGTGCCTGTTCCATCTGACTCAGATGCTTTGCTTTGGAATTCAAGGCCCTTGTCCAAGCCTACTCAGGTTGTTGGCAGAAGTCAGTTTCTTGCGGTTGAAGGACTGAGGTTCTCAGCTGCTGGAAGCTGGCCCTCTCTGTAGGACATTCCTGATTAGCCTACTTGTTTTCTAAGGGCCCCGTGAGTAACTTCTCCTTCAGTAGGAGCCTTGTCTTGTCCTTGATTTTCAAAGGCTTAGATCAAACCCACCTAGAATAAACTCCATTTTGATGGACTCTACATCCATGAATTGGAGACCTCACATGATATCTGCAAAGTCTCTTCAGCTTTGCCAGGGAACTTACAGGATTCCCTGTACATGACTGTGGAGTGACAGTCTATCATCCCCACAGGCCCTGCCACACCCTGGGGACAGACACAGAGTACGGCAGGTACCACAGGAGCCATCTTAGAGCAATTCCCTACACAAAATGCAATTAGTTTTGAATTAATATGTGTTTAGCTGGCTAGGTGCATAAAAAATTTATACACAAAGTATTTTGTACTTACAGTATTAGAAACAGAGCTAGAAGAAAAATTAAAAGAGGTGATTTAAAATAGCATTTAAAAGTAAGCCATTAGTAGTATGACAACAATTAGATGATCTCTATGGAGAAAACTATGAAAATTTAATAAAGGGCATTAAACAGTGTACCTTTAAATTTGTGCAGTATATTCTTAATAGATTGGGAAACTCTATACTGTATTGTTAAAATGTCAGCTTTTGTATAATCAGTGTAATACTAAAAAATTCCATTAGCTTTTGTTTTTAGGATTGGCTGATATCAGACAATTCTAGAATATGTATGGAAAAATAGAGAAACAAGAATACCTAAGAAATTCATTAAATAGATAAACAAAGGGGGACTTTTTTCTTTCACAGATTTCAAAATACTGTAAAATGTACTAATTAAAACAGTATGGGATAAATACAGAGAAGAAAAATAGTCTAATGAAACAAAATAGAAAACTCTAAAATCACACATGATGGACTCGGTAGTACAGCAGGACAACTAGGGAAAATGAAGATAATTTCTTATATGTTTCTCAGACAACTGAGACCTCTGTGAAAAAAAATTATTGAATTCCCACCCTACACTATATAAAAAATTTTAAGGAGTGTAAAGCCCTAAAAATCAAAGGCAAAATGGATTTCTTTTAGAGGATGATAGGAAAAATACACTGTGATTTTACATTAGCAAGTTTCTACAAAATTGTAGGTAAATATATAAGAATATTTATTAGTGTTCTTGGCCTCTTCCCATTAGATAGCCATAATATTCTTATACCCCTCAAATTCTGACAGTCAGAATGGTTCCAGACATAACCAAAGGTCCCCTGGCAGAGGTAAGGTTATCGCCTACCCTCTGTTGAGAACTACTGGTACAGTATTTCCTGATGAAAATCTCTATGAACACGAAAGAAGATGTTAATCTTGCACAACAGCTAAGATGGTTTGACATGAACCTACCATCTTCTAACAAAAGTAAAAAGTTGAAGGGTATTTGAATATTTTTTCCCGAGAGCAATTTCGGCTGTTCTTCCAAATCTAGGGTTTGAGGTTACTCCTATTCCTTGCCCAGTGAGAGTTTCTGAGGCCACTAGTTTACAGAGGGGGATTTTTTAATCACCTTAAATGATTTGATGAAAAGTCTCTATTTTTGCATGACATAAAATGAAATCAATAAAGTAAAGCAAACCTCTTAAAACTAGCCTATAATTTCTGGTTCTTTGGTAAGAAAAAAAGCATCTTTATCGCATTGTATCTCTGGTGTAAGAAAATGAAAATGTAAATAGGAACTAAAATGTATGATAGAAAATGTGAAGTAAGAAAAAAAATGTTCAAAAGAAAGGGGGAACTGGAGAGGGGTGGTGGAGGAAGGAAGGAAAAAGAAAAAATGAGAAAAGAAAAAATGGAAAAAGGGCTTTTGTAATTAAGGAAGGGGAAGAAGAATTGAAAGGAGGGGAGGGGAATTGGAAAATAATCAAGATACATCATATAAAGTTACAAATTTCCTATATGAATGTGATCATTATGTAAATTCAAATTGAACAAATAAAATTAAAAATGACCCCCCCAAAAAAAAAAAAGTTAGCTGGGCCAGGTGTGGTGGCATATGCTTGTAACACCAGCCCTTAGGAGGCAAGAGGATTGATGTGAGTTTGAGGTCAGCCTGGGTTACATAGTGAGTTCAAGGCCACCCTGAACTATACAGTGAGACTCTGTATCAAAAAGCAACAAAAGAATTAGATAAGCTTATTTTAAAGTTGTTAAACCAAACCTTTATATATTTCAGTCCATTTCACCAAGTTTAGCTTTATTTATTTTTTCATTGTGTGACATTTCTAGAATCTTTTTATGGCTTCATTATTTCATGTGTAATTGAGGAGACTTTGCTCTTTAGATGAACATAAAATTAGTCTCCAAAATTTTTTCAAGAGCATTTTAATTTGTCATCAGTGGACTAGAATTTTATTTTTCAGTGAATCCGGCAAATTATTTAAAGGTATAGACGAAATATGTGTAGGGTGGGGGATTTAGCTCAGTGGTTCTGCTACCTTCCTTGAAAGCACAAGGTCCTGAGTTCAATCCCTGGTACCAAAAAAAAAAAAAAAAAAGATATAGGTGTATTTATTTATTTGTGTGTGTGTATGTGTGTTTTCATAGGTGTTTATACTGATCTATTTCTCTATTTGCTTTTTTTGTAGCACTCACTGTTTTATTTCAATTCTATAGTAGATTTTGATGCGTGAGAGAACCAAGACCTACAACAGTGCTCCTTGTCAAAAATCTTATTGGCTAGTTATAGCATTCAACTTTGATACAGTTTTAGAAATGAAAAAGATCTTCATTAAATTTCAGACAGCATTGCATTAGACTTATAATGGGAGAATTGATCTCGATGCCAAACAAGGTTCTATATGTTTTATCCTATATCTTTTACGTCTTTATAAATTTTTAAATAATATTTTTTTTCTATTGGATGGAATCTTTGCCTATGTTACATTTTAAAATTACTTCCTACTGGTGTAAAGAAAAGGAAATGATTTGTATACATATCACTTATATGCAGCTGCTGCTTCCCTGGGCTTACTTTTTACTTCTTAAAAAATTAGTCAGTTTTCTTTCATCAAGACATGGTCCTAGTGTTATTTCTCAAAGACCTACAAGGCTCCTTCTGGATTTGTTTCTAGTAATTACTCACGGTCCACTTCATCTCATTTCCATCCGTTATGGCTTCTTCTACCATTTGTTCTAGGACATATTACTGTGCCCTGTTTAAATTCTTCCTTCTACCTCTTGTTCCTATAAGGCATTTAGCAAATCTGTTTGTGTAATTAAATTCCTTTACTATTATTACTTTGTAGGCTAATTTTACAGCATTGCTTAACTTATTTAATATTTCCATACCAGTTTCACAATCCTCAACAGGGAAATTGTTATATATTATTATTGTTTCTATACAATTATAAAGTTTTTGTTATCTGAATGTAATCTTATCTCTCCTTCACTAGCCTCTTAACATTAAGTTTTAAATTGACAATTATATCAAAGTCTTTGGATGGTATATGGATTAAAAGTTTCTACCATCAGGATATAAAATTTTATCTCTCTTGAAAATTGTTTCCTTACATACTTTGTTCAAGGGAGTACATTTCAAGAATACAATAGGTCTGCTCTGATACTTCCTTCCTTACATAAGTTTTACCATATTATTTTGAATCTTTTTGAACACTGTTAATGAAAATTCTGTGAAGTCCTATGAGTACTTAAATACCAATGTTAAACTATTTGGTTGCCCAAGGGCTTGAGAACAATTCTCTCCTGTTCCTCTTGCCAAAACAAGCATCTCAGAGACTAATTGCAAAAGATGAAAGGGAAGTGGTAGTTTCTATTCTCTTCTGTGGAAATTTCACCCTTGTTCCTCCCCCAGATACCCAAGCTATTACTGACTAAGCCATCAGAAGAAGATGGTAGATCAGTCAGAACAGGCTAGGTGATGCTTCAGTGACAATTCCAAATTTCAGTGGCTTTTTGTTAGATGAAAGAGGGCCTTCATTAGTCCTGCTCCTTGCTAGTCTAGGCTAGCTTTTGTCCTTGTATGACCAGAGACAGGAGTAACACACCAAGACTTCTTTTTTTCTAGTAATAGGGATCAAACCTACTCCCCCTGCTCTTTTCTAAAACCTTTTGTTCTGAGACAAGGTCTCTCTAAATTACTGATTTGTTTAAGCTGTAACTGAACTTGCAATCCTTTTGCCTGAGCCTCTCAAGGTGCTATTATTACATGTATTCAACACCACACCTGGTTTCTCAAACTTCTCAATGGAGGTTTTAAGAAGCAGTGCAGCTTCTATATCCTGAGAACTCTTGCTGTGGAGAAAGTAAGTAGAACCATGCTTGAGGAACTCCAAGCTAGCCTCATGGGAAGCCTGAAAGATAAGAAAGATACCTGATCAGTCCCCAGTCATCAAGTGGCACACGTGAGTACAATAACCTTCAACTCTTGCCTTAGCATCCAGGTATCTGTCATCAGATGAAGGAACACAATGTAAGAAAAGAAAAAGGAAAGCTCCCTTTAGCCTATCAAATCCCTGAAACATGAGAGATGAGCTTTGGGATGGTTGATTATGCAGCAATGGCTAATCTGAATAGTATTTCATTAAAATTTATATTGTCCTCATGTGAAGTCCACTGAGAGTCCAGGGAACCATCCATCCAGAGCACCAGTTCTCCATGAGGCAGCTCAGCAATTCAAACTACTGTGGTCTTGTGGACTCCTAGAAGATAAAATTTTCTTTATAATTTCTATGGCAGGAAAAGAAGGAAACACCAGAGCATCTTTGACCAGTGATTCGATGGTTCATTAAACCTAGACAAGACATACATATCCTTTTTGCTTGTATACCATTGGCCAGAACTATTCACACTGGTGTGCCTAACTCCATAAGGATATAGAAGTATACTTCTTCATGGCCTGGGAAAGAGAAGGAATTGGATATACATCTATTACATTCCTCCCTCTCTTACAGTATCACTTTACCAAGGTCCAAGAAATTTCCCTACCTATCAGGACCCACATTTTTGTATAGCCTTTGCTGCCTCACAGGACCAGCATGGAAAACTACTGTTTCTCTCAGACCAGATACCAGTCTTCTAGAAACTGTAATAAATCCATACTTTCAATATTAAAATGATGTGTAAAAAAATTACTCCAAAATTTTGTGGTTTAAAACAACAACACTGATTATCTCACAGTTTCTATGAATAGAGAAAACAGCTAAATTAAATCTTCTCACTTTGGGTCACACATCAGGCTCAGTCATCTCAAGAAAGAGCCACTTCTAGAACCAATATAGTGAAAATGGCCATACTTCCAAAACTGCTATGTAGATTCAGTGCAATCCCAATTGAAATTCCAACAGCATACTTCACAGAACTAGAAAACAATCTACCTATCAGGACCCACATTTTTGTATAGCCTTTGCTGCCTCACAGGACCAGCATGGAAAACTACTGTTTCTCTCAGACCAGATACCAGTCTTCTAGAAACTGTAATAAATCCATACTTTCAATATTAAAATGATGTGTAAAAAAATTACTCCAAAATTTTGTGGTTTAAAACAACAACACTGATTATCTCACAGTTTCTATGAATAGAGAAAACAGCTAAATTAAATCTTCTCACTTTGGGTCACACATCAGGCTCAGTCATCTCAAGAAAGAGCCACTTCTAGAACCAATATAGTGAAAATGGCCATACTTCCAAAACTGCTATGTAGATTCAGTGCAATCCCAATTGAAATTCCAACAGCATACTTCACAGAACTTGAGAAAACAATCCAAAAATTCATTTGGAGTCAGAAGAGACCTACAATAACAAAAGCAATTTTAGGCCTCAAAGATGAGGTAGGGTATCAAAATCCCCCACTTGAAACTATATTTCAAAGATACTGTGATAAAAACAGCATGGTACTGGCAAAGAAATAGACCCAAGGATCAGTGAAACACATGAGAAGATACAGAAACAACTCCAGACACACCCAGCCACCACATCTTCAAAAAAGGAACCAAACACTCTCATTGGAGAAAAGGTAGCCTCTTTAATAACTGGTGCTGAAAAAATTGGGTTTCAATTTGCCAAAGATTAAAACTAGACCTATATCTCTAATCATGTATTAAAGCAAAATCAAAATGGACTAAAGATCAAAATATTAAAACAGAAACACTAAACCAGCTGGAAGAGAGATTAGATAGAACTCTTGAAGACAATAATGTAGGAAAAGATTTCATGAAAAAAACTCAGTCACATGTGAACTAGCACAAAGAATCAACAGTAAAATCT